CCCAGCTTGACAGGAACATGTCTGTGAAGACTAAGATGTGTGACATAGGCCTGCTGATGGGAACTCCCTCTGACAGAATGAGAGGGTTTCCCCAGTGATTCAGATCAGTTCTCACGGAGGGGGGCACAAAGATAATCCACCTCTTCTGAAGCACAGGATCTATGCGCATGCGGGCAAACCATCTCTGAAGGTGTCTCTTGTGAAGTAGGGCCAGCGGAACCACGATGTGGGCCACTGACATCGTCCCAGGAGTCGCATGACAGGCAGAACTGTCACTATGCTACAAAGTTTGACATGGTAGAACTGGGTTTGACACGGAGAAGCTGAGCTGATAGAGCTTCGGCTCTCAGCTGTGATAAATGGGCTCTCATTGTAGTTGAGTTTAGCTCCACTTCCAGATAAACAATCATCTGGGATGGACAAACGGAAACTTTTCCCACATTATAGAAAGCCCAGGATTATCAGGTGGAACACTAGCGTTTTGGTCTGTGCGACTGCTTTCTAACTGGACCGAGCTAATAAGAGCAGATCGTCCAGATAAAAATAATTCTCATTCCTGCCATGTGTAACGACTGCAAAGCCGTCTCCACGCATTTCGAGAATGTGCATGGGGTGTTTCAGAATGATGGAAATGTTAAAATATGCGCTATTCAGATCTATGGAGGTGAAAACCAGTCGTTCTGGAGGAGTTGTCCAGCAGCTGTTTGTCAGCATGTGGAACTGTCTCCCCATGATCGAATTGCTGAACATGAACAGGTCGAGAATGGTCTCATCCCTCCGGTTTTTCTCAGAACCAGGAAGTAGTGGGAGGAAAAATAAAACGTATTTTCCTCTCTGTTGGGAACACTGGAAATCACGTTTTTTCATCAGAAATTCCTGAACTTCTGACTGGAGAGATGAGCTCTGTTCTGGAGAAGACAGAACCATCTCTATAATCCCTCTGAAACGGTGGGGGTTGAGCTGCGAACTGCAGCGTGTAACCCCTTCTGATCAGACGGTCCGTCCATCTGTCCAGAGAACACACTCGCTGCCACTCTGAGTAACACTCAGAGAGTGGTCACGCATTTGTGTTGTGTCATGTTTCTCATGAACGTCAACCAGACTAAAAATCCTTACTGCCATCACTTGATCCGGAGATTCTCCGGGGGGGGGGGGGGGGGGAACCCGAGGAGGGCTCTGACAGAAAAAAGGGCTGTATGTGTGCCTCTGTGCTGAGCCCAGGCTGCGGTCTCACATAGAGCTGAGGTGAGACGGCGTGCACCGAGAGGAGGCGTGAGCACTTTCTGAGTGAGATGCCGTTTCGGTGGAGGCTGCAGCTGTCGTGGAGAAAACACGTTTACTCCCACTGCGCTGTGAGTGGGCAGAAAACAGCAGAAATTAAAAATGGGCTCTGGCTGAAAACGAGGGATTTTACCGGATTCGGTCTGCTGAAAAAACATAATTTTAGCTGACGTGGCAGATGAGTGTTTTGTGATATTTACTGAACTGCGGTGCCATTTAAAACACTGTTTAGAGGTTACTGGCTCGTTCTGTGTGGGGAATGTGTGAAGAGAGGCAGCTGTGAGCTCAGCTGATCTGACAGTCACAGATGAAAAAACTTTACTTCCAGAGGTGTTTCTGTTTTATATAAAAAACATACATCATCAAAAAAAACACATACCTTCCCCTCAAAGATCTGTTACCCGGTGGAGGGGGCCGGCGGAGGAGTGGGGCGTGAAGTCGCTGCCGCAGCTGTGGAGCATCTCTGCTGCTGTTGCTGGCCAAGGCGGTCCCTCCAGTGGCCAGAGGGGCAAGAGGAGGACTGTGATGTCACCAGATGGTGTACAGTCTCCGAGACCTCCTCGGACCTCTGCGATTTCTCAGGGATGGTCCTCAAATTGGCCCCGAACAGCGCCTCTGGGGTGATGGGGCCCTCCAGCAGGTCTTTCTGCAGCCTCTTGGACAAGGATGGCGAGAGGCAGAGCCAAGTGGTCCTCTGGATCATGGTCATCCAGGCGGCGATGCAGGACAGGCAGACCGCAGAGGTGGCACATGTTTAAGATGACATCAGCAGCTTTACAGAAAGAGAGCTCTTTGTCTCCTCCAGCAGGTCTGCTTCCTCCAGCCTCTTAGAGATGCTGTGGTCCAGCAGGGCGACGTTGTTGTTCGCTGTGGCCATTTGGAATGTGCACTGGTGAGCTCGGTTGGAGACCTTGTCACCATCTGGTCATGCTTCCCTGGAGGTACAGGTTGCTGGTCCATCCTAGAAGCTTTTGCTCCAAGTGCCACCGCCAGGCTTGGCTCCAAGGGAGGGACCGAAGGAAGAAACACCGATCGGTAAAACCCTCCACTCTCGAGATGGAAGCTAAGGTGGAGACGGATGTCTTCAGCTTGCCGGGCTCAGCTGCAGCCTCGTTCCAGTGTGATATCACAGCTGGACAGCGAGGCCAGATGGGGTCAGGGCGATGAGCCGGGGTGGAGCCAACCTTGCTGCCAGATCATTCGATCAGGGCGGAGGGAGGCGAGGGACAGAAAGTCCCTTGTGTTAACATCCTCTTGGATTATGCTGGGCAGCTCCGAGAGGAGGGCACCGACGACTGGGAGCAGTGTGTTCGCCGACGTGGGAAGATCTGAGGTGGCTGAGCATCCGCTCGGCCACTCGTCTTCCATCACTTGCTCTCCAGGAAGGAAGAGGAAGCTCCGCATTGCCTTTCTCGGAGGAATCATTCGATTCACTGCGTGACTCTGCGTCAAAGAAGGCAGTGGCGTTGTCCCGCGCATAGCGTTCCGCCACAGAAAAAAACACTCAGCGGAGCTGCTTCCAACTATGCCTTTTTCGAGGGAATCGTCCGATTCACTTGAAGGAAAAAAAACACATTAGAAAAAGCGGTGGCGTCGTCCAGCGAGTAGCGGCCCTCCACGGAAAAAACATTCATTGGGGCTGCTGCTAACATCGTTTTTTGGAGGAAATAATTTGATTACCGCAAGGAAAAACACGTTAGAAAAAGGCGGTGGCGTCGTCCAGCGGGTAGGGGCCCGCCACGGAAAAACACTCCTCGGCGCTTACCTTGAACAAGGCTGCTCGTCTGCTTCTCCTCGGGGAAGAAGAGCTCACTGGGACGGCAGGAGGTTGGCGTGGCGGAGACCCAGGCATCCTTAGCAAAGGTTGTGCCGGTCAAAGCTGGACAACTTTTCCTTCTTTGTCCTTCTGACAGTGCTAGCTAGCTGGCTGAAGAAAAAATGGGAGCCGATTACCCAGTCTAACTGTAATTTATACGGACCAGGGGGTGAGGCCCACACAGCAGGTCGGCGTGGACTAAAGTTTTCAGTGCTGCACTGCTCGCCTAGGGATAAACCCACTAGCGACAGTCTTAAAGGGTGAAGCCTATATGAAATAGAACTGCTTGATCCACTCTGAGAAGGTGCTTTTTATAAGACTGAGCTGAATACAGCACCTCAGACTGAGGATGTCTTTCGGATGAAAGATGAAACATTTTTACACAATTTTTATATTTTTTTATGTCCAGAGGACCAGATTTAACTTTTTAGACAGAGTGATATAATATCCTTCAACGAACGCTAAGCTTGAATTATTTATGCAGATATCCCAGCAGCCAATAATTTCATGCAGAACATAAAATCTGAACATTACACCATTTCATTCATCAGAAGTTGTCACGTGCAGCACAGTTCAGCATGAAGATTGTCACAAGGAACCAAAAATAAGGAGAGAAATTGCATTTCCTGCAAAAATGCAGTGTGAATGCTGACTGCTGAAGACCTTGCTGAAAAACAGCTGAAATTAGTTAAAAGCATGCTTAAATATAGCTAAAATGTAAGAACAACCCTATGATAGCAGAAGAAACCATAAAGAACACGTATTTGCTGAATTAGGTTTAAATAAGAAGTGAGCAGAAAATTTTGAAAATTAGCTAAAATAGCTTAAATTAGAAAAAAACACTGCTGAAAGTAGGTGAAAAGGCAGAAAGAAGCTTAAACTATTAGAAGGAAGTAGAAAGAGCTGAAATGAGCCCCAATAATTTTGAATTAGATGAAAACCTAAATTTAGCATAAAACAGCTGAAATAGCAGAAAAAGCTGAAACTAGCAGAAAAAAGCTGAAAGGAGCACACAACAGCTGAAATTAGCTGAAAGAAGCTGAAAAAAAGTTTAAATTTTCAGAAGGAAGCTGAAGCAAGACAACATGTGAAAGAAGCAGTAAAAGTTTGTAAACAGATCTAAAGATTTGATGCAGGTAAAATTAGCTCAAATCATTTTTTATGAGAAAAAAATTACAGAAAAGGCTAAATATAAAAAAAAAAACTAAAGTTTCACCAATACCAAAAGTCATAGCAGGATTGTCCTGAAAGAGCTGAACATTTTGATTTATGAATTGTTGAAATAACTTGAAAACTGCAGGATGAGAATCACTCTGAATAACATACAGAAGAAAAATCAATGACAATAGTGTGAATGCCTCATGAGTAGTCACACTCTTATGTGTAAAAGAACACACAGGCAACATGTCTGACTGTATTGGTTGTGTTCTTTTTAAAGGGTAAATATAAACTGATTGTTTTTGGCTGTAATAATGAACAACAAAATCTCGATTACAAGCCCAGTTTTTAGCCTCATAAGGTAAAGTAATGAATGGCTGCAGGTGTTGTTTTTTTTGTAATTAATCGTTTTATAATTGGACAAATGATTGTGCTGGCAGATGAGGAATGAGAGCAGACACCTGATGAAAGCAGTCATCTCTCAAGAGAAGACCAATCTGACTTTGCATAATGAAAAAAAAAAACATTTTTAAATTGCTACCTCCCTCCTTCCATCTGCCTCTCTTCAACTTCCTGTCCTCCAGAGCCCCCCAGCCTCGGCTGTTGATGTGAGTAAATGGCACAGAGGCTGGTAGTGATTTCTCATTGTGAGATAAATAGGATGTGTGTAATCCTGCTCAATTGTCTGATCTGATACAAAGTCTAATCTGTATCTTGTGTTTTCTCATTTCACAGATTCTGTTGGATCGTGGGATTGACTTGCACAGCTATGAACTTATCTTTGGATTTTTGAGACGCACCAAATTTCCCCATCTTCTTCCTCCTTGCCTTTATGCCCAGCTGGGAAATCGAATCATTCAAAGCCAACAGCCACCTGTCTGCGATACTGCCTTCTTTAGTGTAAATCATGTCAAATGTTTTTCTCATCTGTGGCCAAACAAAGTGGCCTTTTCCAGCGCTGCTCCTTTTTCTCCTCCTGAGGGTTCATGCAGCCCCCTCAGGGCCTGAGTCTGACTCCTGCTCCACCTTAGTTCAGAGCCGCTTCTTTGGCTTCTTTTTGTCTTCATCAGTGTTTCCTTCTGTGCCTTGTTCTTGGACCCTGCAGAATCCCGATCCACGACGGTACACTGTGTTCATCAAGGTGACCAAACCTAGGGAGAGCTGTGTGCCGTCACAGCTCCGCACCTTCCAGTACGACTCCTTCCTGGAGATCACACACACCTACCTGGGAATGGAGAGTTTTGATGAGATTGTAGGGCTCTGTGATAACTCTGTCCCGGTGGCCTTCCTAGAGGCTGGAAAGCAGTTCCTACAAATGAGGAAAGGACCTCCTAGGGCTGGTAGGCAAGTCCAAGAAGAGGATGGAGATTTTAAAACAGAATACCTTGTGGTGGGGAAGCGCAATCCAAGCATGGCAGCCTGCCAGATGCTGTGCCAGTGGTTAGAGGACTGCTTGGCCTCTAGCACATCTAAGCGGCCCTGTGGCATAATGCAGACGCCATGTTTGTGCTGGGACCCACTGCCACAGCTCACTGAGACTGAAAGTTGTTACCACAATGGAGTTTACCTGGAAAGCTGTTTACCCAGCACCACAAAGAGTGGGAGAAATGCTGAACTAAACGGTGAGTAGAAACTTATGTTTGAATGAAAAGTGTTAACATGAATTACGTCCTTGTGTAACAGAATGAGTCATCTTTGGTTTGCTGTAAAACAATTTATAACCTGTTGTTCCTTGGAGGAATGTGTTTATGTGTTTATGTTTGTATTTGTTACCTTTTTAGCCAGAGTTTTAGACCAAGCTTATCTTGTGTGGAAGAATGAGTTGTAGCCACTTTGGTCAGACCTAAAAAGATGTGTGATAATGCAAAATTTCAGATCTACCATATGCGTTGCAGACATAAGCATCGCAACCATTATATGTGAAGGGGACATGCCCCCCCCAATTAAAAATATTCATTTGGACCCCTTCACATTAACCATGAAATATTACCCAGCGCTGTTTCTATTTCTTGGTAAATGAATCCATTCCACTTGTTTAATAGGAGAATATTAAAATCACTAAAAAGCCACTCCAGGTTTTCTTGGTTACCTAGAACAACTCCACACCACTGCAGTGTTTCCCCTCCGTAAGTACGCTCACGGGGGGAGGAGGGGGCGACACCTCTGTTTTGCGAGCTAGCTTAGAACTATGTTAGTGCTGGCAGTTGTTGACCAGGGTGTGGGATTAGGGTGTGTGAGAGAAGCAGAGCACTACATCTGTAGCATCTTAGCTGACACATCTGTATTGCATGCTGCTAGCTTAGCACTGTTAGTTCTGGCAGTTTTCGATGTGCTGGGTGGGCTAGAATGCTTGAGAGAAGTGGAGTGTGCTCTATTCACACAAGAGCTGTTGGTCAGACTACTTCTTGTTGCGTTCTAAAATAGTTATTGAGTTTCAGTTCAATTCAATTTGGTTTATTTATGTAGCGCCAAGTCACAACAGAAGTCATCTCAGGACACTGAACAGAAACATTCATATATAAAAATAACATTTTAACATTATTTATCTAAGGAGCAGACTGCTTTGAGTTTAACTCCATCACAAAATTTTAATCTTGAGCAAACATGAAGGCGACAGTGGAAAGGAAAAACTCCCTCATGAGGAAGAAACCTTTAGCAGAAGCAGGCTCAGGACAAGTGGACATTTTCAAACAGGACATGTCTTTTATCCCCCACATTAAAAACGTTACTAGAACCTCCTTCTTCCACCTGCGTAATATCACTAACATTAGAAACATCTGATCTAAAGATGATGCAGAAAAACTGGTCCATGCATTTGTCACGTCTAGACTGGACTATTGCAATGGTTTATTATTTGGATGTCCAAATACTTCTTTAAAACGTCTTCAGTTGATCCAAAATGCTGCTGCCAGAGTCTTAACTGGAGTTACTGGGAGAGATCATATCTCTCCAGTTTTAGCTTCTCTCCATTGGCTCCCTGTCAAATCCAGAATAGAATTCAAAATCTTACTTCTAACCTACAAAGCTCTCAACAACCTAGCTCCATCTTATATTACAGATCTTATTGTTCCATATTTTCCTAACAGAGCACTTTGCTCTCAAACTGAAGGTTTACTCGCTGTCCCTAGAGTTTCTAAAAACAGAATGGGAGGAAGATCTTTCAGTTATCAGGCTCCTCTCTTGTGGAACCAACTTCCATTTTCTGTTTATGAGGCTGACACATTATCCAGTTTTAAAACTAGGCTGAAGACTTTCCTTTTTGGTAAATTCTATAATTAGGGTCGGCTTGTTATGCTGCTTTAGGCTTAGACTACTGGAGGACAAATTGACATAATTTCCCTAAATGAATTGTTAAAAATGAATAGTTTTCATTTGATAGTATTTTTATCTCAAGAAGAAGAAGTATTTCTATCTTAACATGTGATTCTTGACCTGCCATTGTGTATCTGTTCCTACCAAACCCAGCCGGTCGAAGCAGATGACCACTTGTCCTGAGCGTATTTACTTATGTAAGTAAATGCAGATGTTTAGCAACCCGTTAAAATACACCAGGATGCTGGAAATGGCATCTAATCTATTCAAAATGTTCTTGGGGACGACCCCCAGACCCACTCCCCCTATCCCACCCCCACCCACCACACACACATCAGTGTGCCCCTCTTACATTACAAATGCTTCAGACACCAATGGTTGCAGATGTCGCTCAGCTACTACCACATCATAGTTTTTGTCAATATAAGTACATTTTTTGCCTTTTCGACAGTGAGCTGTGGTGGGCATTTTGATATGGATTGCCTCTAATAGGTAATTTGTTGTAGAAGCAAATCCAGTAATTAACTAAAATTCGCTACAAGTCTCAATAAAATCCATCCAGTGGTTCATTAAATATTTTGCTAGGAGACAGACACATGATTCCATGAAACCACACAGAGACATTGGAAAAACACAAAGGTTTGCCTTCCCCTTTTGGCCATGGGTAAAAACTACAAGTGTTGTTTTTAAGAAACCACATGGAAAAGATTTAATGTTGTCGGTTTTTGAAAGGTCATTCTTTGTGTTTAGCATGCTCTCAGCAGGATGACAAAAAAAGGGTGTCTTCAGTGGCAATTAGCCCAGAAAAATGTGTATGATTTGTGAGAAGTGACTGTGTGACGTTAGTTCAGAGGCACATGGGGTGCCTCGGCTGAAGGAGGAAGAGTGAGGGACAGAATCGGGCAAATGGAAGGTTTTAAGTTTCCCCTGATGGAATGGAGCTCAGTGACCTTGCTGTGTCTGCAGCAGATCCGGTACCCTGGCTCTGCACTAATACTGGATCAACCTCCAGGAAGCTTGTGGGAATGGAGAAGAATCAGATTCTGACACTGGATAGCTGTGGGGCAGCTCAGCATGGAGCAGGGAGGGGATGTTTGAGGAACGCAAATAATCGAACCCTATGATTTCTGCAATGCGGAAAAATTGAATGAAATCATGGAAATCAATGTAATAACTAAAAATTAATGAACATGTAAAAATGTATAATGTGTAAATTTTACTAAACAACTGAAGGCCATTTCACCATTGACACTTGCTATGAATGAGGCTATTTTGTCCTGTGAAGGCTCCTGTAGTCTCCAGTCTGTGTCTGCTTGTGGTGGGAAGAGATGAATGGATTGGGGGGGGGGGGGGGGTACAGCAGTAGTGCTTGAAAGTTTGTGAAGTTTTTATAATTTTTTATTTCTGCATAAATATGATCTAAAACATAATCACATTTTCACACAAGTCCTAAATTAGATAAAGAGAACTCAGTTAAACAAATGAGACAAAAATATTATACTTGGTCATTTATTTATTGAATAAAATTATCCAATATCACATTTGTGAGTTGCATCAGTATTTTCATTTACCCTTTATTTATCCAGGTAGTCTCACTGAGCCACAAGAACCCGTAGCTATCGTAGATTTTGATGTGGCAACTCCATTTTTGAAAGGAAAATTTTCTACACCTAGATGCAGCCAGACAAAAACAAGTTAGATGGCCTGTTGCTTAGTTTTCAAGTTAGAGGCTGTGGCTCAGTGGTTAGAGCAGTCGTCCTCCAATGCGAGAGTTGGGGGTTTGAATCCAACAGCAGTCACATGCTGAAATGTCCCTGGGCAAGACACTGAACCCCTCATAGCCTCTGATGTGTTTCCCATCAGTGTATGAATGTGATCTAAAGCTCTGATTAGTCTCTTTAGAATGATTTGTTCAATTATCTTTGTAGAGATCTAGTAGAGTGCTGTATGAACAGGTAAATGAGGCACAGATTGCTGTAAAATGCTTTGAGTATCTTGATAAGATAGAAAGGAGCTATACAAGTACAGTCCATTTACCATTTACAGTCCATTTATCTAGCTCACCGGGTTTATTTATATTTGGCAGCAGTCATCTTGGACTTAGACCTGGCAACCCAGTTTTTAGGGTCGTTTTCACACCTGATAGTCCGGTAGTCTCTGTTCGATTGGGGACCAAAATTCAGAACATTTGTTCACATTTTCAGCTGGTGCGGTTTGCATTCACACTGCATGAGTCAATTGAGCCAACCTGTTCCCCCACTCGCCTGTGGTGGCTCTGCACCAAGAACTACTGAAGGAAACAACACAAAAACCTCTGCAGAAGACATGTCTTCTTCTTCAAATTAAAAACAAAAACGGAGTGGCATCAAGTTTTAGCAGTTTTAGGAGTTTTGTTCTGTTTTGTCATTTTTCAACAATGGACTCAGCAATAGTGGAAGATGAGGCAGAAGACCATGGAGAATGTTGTTTTTCCACACAAGGCGGCTGACGGCTTTGTATGAGATTCAAGATATGCACATTTGTTTTAGTTGTATTTACCCAGAATGCCCTGTGCTGTAGTCCACTTCCTGCTTTTGGAGTGGTCTCTGGTTCCCTTGCATTCACAATGCATTTGAACCACACTTGAGTTCACTTCAACCGGATCGAGACCTAAGTTTTTAGGCGGACCAGAGTTTGCTTTTTTGGTCTGCATCAGAGTTTGATTGTGCATTCACACCTCCCCAGACGAACAGGACTTTCTAGGCAAATGGACTAGAGTTCCATTAAAGCAGACTAAACAGGGCTGGTGTGAATGCACCCTTAAAAGAACCTTTCTTACTCTTGCATGCACCACAAACCTAAGTCATTACCTCACTTAGACTGATGGTCCTTCTTGAGCATGTGATCAGCTGGTTTTGGTTGTCAGCAGTAAACTGGTTGATCCACTCTGAGAAGGTGCTATTTAAGAGACTGAGCTGAAAACAGCACCTCAGACTGAGGAAGTCCTCAGGATGAGAGACGAAACGTTTCTAAATTTTTTTGTTGTTTTGCTTTGTTTTGTTTTTTTGAATGTCCAGAGGACCAGATTTAACTTTTTTAGATTACCTCACTTGTTTTTTTCTGTTCTCGTGTTCACAACATGGTCTGCTGCCTTCATACATCTCCTCCTACATGTCTCTGTGTGAGTGCAGCTACAGCGTGCGCTCTCAGGACATTATTACCTGCAGTGTTCCCTCAGTGAGGACTGAACTAGGTTCACGCTTCTGTTTCCTGGAATATCTTACAAAAAGATTTGAAGCTCTCGACCTTGACCTCTCTAAGTGTCTTTAAGAATCTGTT